GAAGCGCCAAAAAACCAGTACTAAAGTTATCCATGACAGTACCAAATTTTTCCCTAATGAAGGAAATCATTACGAGGATCCCAGAAAGCCTAAGAAATTAAAAGAAAATCGACGTTTCTCGTGCGTCACATTAGAGAAAAAGCAGCATTATTCCGCCAGTTTTCGAAGAAGACAAACAAAGGATCGGATCACCTGATAGTAAATGATTACTGCCGCCTATGAACAACTGCAATACCAGGGGAATCACAGGTATGCTGGTATTTGCAAGCTTGCTGTTACTAAACAGATTTTGATTAAAACTCCTGCATAAATTGAAGATCATATGCAGTACTCCTAAACACAGACTTGTATTTGATAATGACGCCATCTCCTTAACCTTGCTGGTTATTATTGGGCTTGATTGATGTGGTATATTTGTGATTTCATACAATAGGGGAGGGGTATAATCGAGTAGAAGTAGTAATTTTATTGATTTTTTTTTACCGCCAAATAGCAATGTTTGCAATTCTAGTTTCTGATGTGTAAGGTAGAGTCAAACTGCAGCTATATTATAGTCATCGCACGAATGGGATGGCTTGACCAAGGAAGGACCACAATCTCACAGAGTACGAGTGTAAAATAAAAAAAAATTAATGCTGTTGTGTTTCGTATGGTGAATATAAAGAACCGGAGACCCATTTTACTGGAAATTAGACATTTTATCGTAGTTCTCAGGGCTCACGACGCATCTGAAAATTGATGTTTAATCGGGAACAGTTGTGCATTTAAAATCCGCTTTCAATTGGGTGAACTATGTGCTCGTTTGTCACACTTATTCTATAAAAAAGGAGACCCTCAAAAAAGGCTACATAATATGATAACGCATCTGTAGCCCTTTTAACGATTGAAGTATTCTGCAGGTATCCGTGGACTATAGTAGTCACTTACTTCGGTTGTTTTGTCACTAAGGAGATTACAGAATTTCATTTGGTACGATTCTGACACTCTTCTTTCACTTTTTTTACATCGATATATCTGCGCTTACATTTTCGTTTGTGAAGGGTACTACTACAACATATTATAATATACTATGACCGTATTACTGCCTAGTTTAGTCTCTTGTTTGTAAGCACTACTGCGAATCATGAGAATGGTTCGAATTCCAGTTTGAACTAAAATTTAATTATTGGGATTTTTGATATAGTAGCAGCCTGGAGTCAGAAATTTGGCAATGCTTCGCCGTCGTGCCTCGGAAATCACAAAAAGCCGTAATTCCTGCCCGTAATCTCTATCCGACGGTTTTGGGTTGCCGTCCGAATGTGGGGAAATAGAAAGTGAAACCATACTCGCAATCTCTATCCCTCTCTCACACCCATACTAGTTCACTATAATGCTGCACAGATGGCTAGTCTTCGTTGAGACTGGCTGCTGTAGCCGAAATTTGCTTTGGAGGGCATTAATGTGTATTAAACTTTTATTCTAGAACTTCAAAGCCTCTGCGTTACGCTTATTCGATAAGTGCTACTGACACAAAATAGAAAGTAATATATTTAAATGACTTGAAAAAGAAAACGAATAAGTGTAAAAGCAATTACGCCATTTCTATTCAAGTGATTGAATGACCCGTAAACTCAAAGCAGCTGAAAGCGTTCTAATTTCACTTGAATGAAAACTATTTCACTTCACATAAGCTCTAATTATTATTAAAGCACAAAAAGTTTAAAACTTAAATTAGCTTATTATTTTGGCAGCACGAATGGGTCAGCTTAACCGCGAAAGGACCGTGCCTTCACAGAATACCAGCGTAAAATAGCATCTTCATTTTGCTTTGTTCATATGGTGAGTGTTAAGAGCCTTAGATCCTTTTTATTGGTAACGTAGCGTTCCATCTTAGCCGGTGGTGATTATGCAACTTACAATTCTGACTTTAAGAAGAGTATAGATATAGATGTCTACAGGCCACAGCGTGTGCTTGTAGTGGGTAAACTGTATGGTAGCTTTTCACCCATATACAATAAAAGGCAAAATAAATCTTTCTTGGTAAACGGTACCTACCCAAATTATTTATTATTATTATTATTTATTTAATTTCAAGTATCCAAGACTCATTTTTATTTACATTGCATTTTTTTTTCAAATTATAATTATTAAAAAAAATTTAAATCAAATAATCTTACAAAATATGACGAGACAAATCTATTCAAACTATTAAATATTTCTAAATGCTGTAATGCACATAAACAGCAGTCAAATTAGCTGCTGGGCATATGCAGTCTACAACAATGTTGCAGATAGGGACAGTTCACTCTGTCACCTATCATTTTAAGAATGCCATTGGGGCTGGCCCTTACCCTACGTACCAGCGATGCAGCTCTTTTACGCAAAGTTGCGTAAAAACAATCTACATGTGCTTGAGCAAATATCTCTGATGCGCTGCAGCGTCGGGACAGCCCCATCAGCACCCGGAACGCGTTGTTATATTGGATCCGGAGAGCTCCGTAGGCCCGGTGCGTGTAGTCCCTCCACAGGCTGCACGTGTAAAGAGACGTACAAAACGCTCTAAATAAAGTGAGTTTAACCTCTCTTGAACATCTCGCGAACCTACGTGCAATCATATTTGCACGAACCGACAGAGCCCTACGTTCCCTTTCTATGTCAGTAGTATCCTTGAGGTCGGACGTAACCACATGACCCAAATATTTGAAAGAGTCAACCCTAGTTAATGGTGTGCCATTTAATTTAATAGGAGGCACATTACGCGTACGATCCCGTCCGGCCCCAAAGATCATATACTGACTTTTTTGTGCATTGTATTTCAGCCCATGTTCGGCTGCAAATGTCTCACAAACACTAAGCAATTTTCTTAATCCACATATTGATGCACTCAGCAGCACCGACATGCATGCTGCTAAGCGCCTCAATAAGTCCATTTACATAGAGGTTAAAGAGACTAGGTGAGCTTAGCCCACCCTGTCTCACCCCGCACTGCAACCGGTATTGTTCAGACAAAACATTAGCCTATCTAACGCAATTGACCTGTCCCCCATACCAATATTTTAAAATCTGTATCAGTTGACCTGGTAATTTAATATCCTCCGATTTTTTCCACAGTATATTGTAGGAGACCAGATCAAATTCCCTCGACAGGTCAAGAAAACAAGCGTAGACAGGTGTTTTCCTATCAACATAATATTTGACAGTGTGCTTAAGGCAAAGTATCGCACTTTCTGTGGACAGTCCGGTACGAAATCCGAACTGATTGTCATGCAGTTTTAGATATTTATTGATCTGAGTATTAAGCACACTGTCCAATATATTTGCTATGATGGTTGCCAAGGATATTGGTCTATAATTACATTTATCTGACAAGTCACCCGTTTTATTTTTTACCACCGGTACTACTATGGTCTTCATTAGATCAGGGGGCAGATATGCATGCCGTATACATGTAGTGTAGAACATAGCCAGTACCCGGTGTATATGTGGGCCAGCATACTGTAGATGCTCGATACTGAGACAATCATGACCTGGAGACTTGCCCCTAGACATAGATTTTATGACTTTTGCTACATCTTTCACACTTATTCTGTCCCCTACTCCATCAATGACTGTCCCAGCATCTTGCACCGATTCATAAGAATATGACCCTAGTGTCGACTTTACAGAGAAAAGCTCCCTAAAGAGGTTGGCAATATCCTTTGGGTTACTCACCCCGCCCACACTCACGGGAAGGCTAGGCCGAATTCTCATCTTATTAGTTCCTTTCCAAAAAGCACTAAAATCTTTTTTAGTATGCGATGACACTATTTCATCCATTTCAATTTGATGCTTATGATCTTGACACCATTTTAAGCGTGATTTAAATACATTTCATTAAATAATTTGCCATGATTGGGCCGTCCATTAGCCATCCAAAGATGAAATTTCTGTCTAGCCTCCCCATGAGCCTCTCTAACATGTCTTTTCCATCCTACAACGGGTTTTTTTTTTGGCCAATGTTTCTTGTACTCTCGACTAGCAATTGCGGCCTCACTTGGGGCAGACACTATGTCGTAATACAGTTTGTCAATTATAATTCTATGCTTTATATTTGTACAACATTTGTCAGCACAGTACCGAAATTCCGAAGGGAAATCTATTTGTCTTAGCTTTCTGTAGCACATATCGCTATAAACATTTTTCTGACGTTCGGACCTCTTTCCCCATATAACCTGGCGATTAATAACTCTAAATCGCATTCGATCATAAGAGGGAAATGGTCCGACCAAGTCACGTCGTATTTAACATAAACATTGCATACTGAGGACACAGCAGATTGTGTTACAACACAGTGGTCCAACCATCGCTTACAGCCATGTGATTGGCTTAAAAAAGTGTATGTGCCGGAGGACAAACCTAGAAAGTCAGTATCAATACAATGCCAATTTTGTTCACTACAATATAATATAAGTTCATTGAAAAATAGCGTATGAGGATGAGAGTTAAAATCGTCCAATATATATACCGAGTCAATGCCGTATTCTTCTATTAATGCACTTACCGCACTGAGGCAATCGGAGTAATTAGGTAGATTGTCCTTACAATCCGTGGGCATATATACATACATATCACAATAATAGGTCGATCTATCGTCACAATTTTAATCGCGCACAAGCGAGCATTATCGCAACGCAGCACATTTACGTCATGGAAAACTGCACTTCTCCATAACAGAGCAACTCCCCCATGAGGCCGACCGCACAGTAGTCCCTTTGTCGTATCCACAGCAGAAGTACCTGTTGATCAAAAACCATCATCGATCGAGCTGAGATACGGTATCTCGTCCGGTAACAGCCAAGTCTCCTGGAGTGCAATTAAATCTGCCTGTCGACAGAATTCTCTAATACTGTCCACGGTGCGTTTCACGTTTTTACAATTGAAGCTAGCGAATGTTATTGGTCTCCTACTTATTGTTCAAGTGTAAATTGCCGTTTACAGAAGAGTCTTTGTTCGCATTTCTGTGTTTGAAGTGTACAAATTTTCTAAAAACCCTTCGGCCATATATTTGCATCAAGAAACAATGGTATTTTGTCACAATCTACAAAGAATTTATAGGCTTTGTGATCGGTAGCCTTTTTTATTTGAATTTTTTCTAGCGACACTGTTTCCTGTGTTTTCGCTTTAATATAATTAATTATGTCGCTTTCTTCCGTATCTTGATGTATGTTCGTAATAAAAATTGGCGATTTACGTATTGCGGCTTTAAATTTTTCACCTAAATCGCTCGTATTTATACCCACTTGACCTCTGTATCGATAGTTAGGTTTCTTTTTATGCTGAACTGTTTGCCATTCATATTCATTTTTTGAAATTATGTCGTCGACGCAAGCACACTCTAATTCCCCAGCATTATTCAATAAGTTTGTTTTGTTACTTATAACGTTCTTACTTGTCATACTTGCGTTCTGACCGGTTTCGCATGACTCAGATTGAACAACCACCCGCGAACAATGGTTAGTATTATGATGCGATGACAACGGCGAAGATACCCGTTCGTGCACAATATTATTTCTTTGGCCGGTAGACTGATTATTGTCTACTTTCTTTCTTGGGCTACAACTAGGTGATGTTTCGTCTCGTATTAGTGACGACGAAATATTTATATTCTTCATCTCTTTAGACCTAACGAAAGTGGAGTCATGTATAGCAGACATACCTATTGGTCCACTATCAAGGCCCCAAGCACTCAGCCTTGGGTTCACATTACACATGCGCGGCGGATGAATATCCTTCATTACCAATACTTTACTTTCAAGCTCTTTATGCTGTTCAAGCGGAGTGTACGTCGACTTTATGCAGTCTATATCGAAACGTAATTTTGCAATATCCTTTAGTAGTTTTGTACAGTCAAGATGATCAAAGGTAATTGGTGGTAATTTTTCTAACTCCCTTGCAACAAAGACAGGAATCAGATCAGGTTCAGTAGTTTTAAAAAGCTGAATAATATCCTGCAGGTCACGTTTTTCTTTTCCCTCTCTCTTACGTTGTATTTTTCGCTTATCCGATGGTATAGCATCAAAAAACAATGCTTTCCACTTTTGAATCTCGGCACTGGAAACGCCGAAGAACACAAACGCAACAATGATTCTTCATCCATCACAGATATTTTGTTCTGGATGTAACATAACAGTTCGTCAATGACGATATTACACATGGAACACTAACGTCTCCGACATTATGGCGCACGACCAATTTGTCGTTCGTATCGATAATTAAACTATGAAAGGACGCGTGCGTCACAGCTGAGCGCAAGCGCGGGACTGAACTTGAAAATTAAATGCTTGGCAGAAGTTGAGTTCTATAACTAATATAGTAGTCCTTCAGCGTAAACACCCCATTGCCGGGCCTAAGCTTTTCCATCAACTAGGATAATTCGCCGTGATCGCCAAGCTTTCCAGGTGAAGCGTTGTTGGGTGCGTGGACTGTAGGTTGATGTGATTATGGTTTGTAGACAAACCGAATGTAGTATGAATTATTTTGTCCTACTTTTATTGAGCACAAACCCACAAGTACAGTACATAAATAGCTAACGATACACCGACTAAACAAGGCCAAAACTATATAAACATAACGGGTAACATTTAATGCAACAATGAGGGCTAAAATTTTAGCCTGATCAAGTTAATTCAACTGTTAAATCAACTATTTGAACCAATGGGACAAAATTATTCTAATTTGTTCTACTAGATAAGTTATCGCTCAACAGATGTCACTAGCTGGGTATGAGATTAAGTTATTTGTTAAGCAAGGTCATTTTAATTAAATGCGTTCCGTTTTAAATAAATCTCTATAGACTCCTACAGTGTGCAAATATACACAAAACCTCATTACGGTACTACTCATTTATTACTTTTTTATTGTTCTACTTCCAAGAATATCCGTAGTTTGGTTTATCAATTTAATATCTAATTAATATAACATATAACTTATATTTGGACTAGACTATAGAGATGGTCTAGTTTTGTTTAGTAGCAACTGACAACTAAGGTAAAATATAACTTACAGGGTTTGTAGAGATTATTAAAAATAAATCTTTTTGGTGTGAAAATTTTTTCACTATCACCACCACACTCAGCACTAACACCACCTCCCATCAACAAATCACTATTAATAGTCTCTGAATGCTCCGACAAAGATTGTAAATCAATGAGTTCCACAACTGCATCTGGTGGCACCATTTCTTTTCCCTGTCATCACCAAACTCCACAGTGAACCCCGTGCATGTTGCACCCAATCGGATGTACATTTTTCCACAACCGGTCTGCAAATAAAAATGTTTAAATACAAATAATACATATTAGTGCTCTAAGATGATTAGGTATATTTCACAAAATGTTACGAAATATTTGATGTATGTACTTATTACAAACCTTTAAATTATTTTGTCTTATCAATGCATTGCGTTTCCTTGCCCACTTCTTTAAGTTTTCCCACTTTATGCGTAGTTGCTCAGGACGCCGTAAATCTCCCGCCATCGCACTAAACTCCTGCGCTATGGATTTCCAAGCCTCTTCCTTTAATTTGTTATTTGTAGCATTCGTTGCCTTGGTAGTAGTAACTTTTTGCTTGGAAATCAAGTCAAGCAAGAAGAGTATTTCGTCCTTTCCAAGGGCCATTGCCTTCATCTGAAACCAAAATTTTATAAATGTCTTACACTTTGCGCGGATTTTAGACAAAGATGCAAGCTTTTGTTTGTTAAATTTACTATAAATGTAAATAACACGGCAAAGAAAACACAATACTTACAGTATTTTGTTGAGCGATATTAATGCCTATTGCTGATAAAATACTGCTACACATAAACAAAATTTAACTAAGTTATTTCTGCTAAAGCATCTTGATGTTTGATGTGATGTTTGAAACACAAACTGTCAATGGGTGCGTTTGGCAGAAAAAAGCGCTAGCAAGCGCTTACAAGCGCTGAAATAGTTTTCGGCCAGGACACGATTGCTACTTCAATAGCGCTGACACAATCCGCCATTTTGCTTATTTAATTTGTTTGTTTTGAAGTAGAGTTTAGTAAGTAAGTTAAGTATTTTTGTGCAATATTAGTTTTAAGTATAAATGACACGAATAAACATATAGATGTTATTAAAAATTCGTGATTGGTAAGTTTTAATATGAATACTTTACAAACAGATATTTAAATTAGGTTAGGTTCCCCGGTTAAAACTGACTTCGTGTGCTAGAGGAAAATAGCTACTTACGATTTGACAGCGCTTACCGCTTACGATCACCATTTTGCTTACAAGCGCTTGCTAGCGCTTTTTTCTGCCAAACGCACCCAATGTCTAGTCAGGCAAGTGTCAATTCCGAACGCCAAGTGTTGCATTTCGTTGCATCATTTTTTTAAGATAAAAGTTTGTCATTATTTGATGCTAGCCTTAATTTAGAAGTGTGTTTAATGAATAATTGCCAATATTATATTAAAACTAATAACTATAATAATTTTAAACATTTTATAATAATCATAATATTTTAAATAAATCTTAATATTTTATTGCAAAACGTGACACAATTTACATCGAAGGAAAAACAAAACGCTTAGGAGGAACGCGTTAGCCAAAGTTATCATATGCTATCTATCTTTTACCTCGGGGAAGCTATCGAACATTACGTTATTGAGTCTACACTAACAGATAGTTTAAACTTAACTGTTTACCTTCGGTAGCTATCTACTTATAACTGATTGTATGAAATTGAGACCGGCCGTAGATTGACAACGTATGTACATTTTGATTCTTAAATGGGAATAGATGTAGATATCTATGGGACTATCTACGTTTGTCACTAGTGTAAACTACGTGTAAACTACATGTGTAAAAAAACCATGTGCACCTAACACACAACTAAGTTCTTAGAAGGAACACTAAGGATTCATTTTTTTCTATGAGGACTTAGATCAAATACCTGGCTACCTGTCATTAAACTGACTCTCTATACCCTTCGGAAAGACAGCAGTGCAAGCAATGCTACATAATATGTGGCATCATACAGACACAGACACAGAATTCCTAGTCTGAAAACTAATCCAATCATCTCGTTACCTAATTATATCGATTCTCGACTAAAACTCCGATTATTATGACTCAATCTGGTTTTAAGCCTGGGCACAGTACAACCACAGCTCTTTTGAAAGTTACAGAATATTTTCATACCGGAATGGAGAACTCGCAATTGACTGTGTTATTTCTAATAGATTTTGTTAACGCTTTTAACGCTGTCACCTACCACCTACTTTGTCACCTGAGTTTCTCTTCGTCGGCGTGGGACTGGTTCTTCTAATATCTTCGGCGTCGTCAGCAGGCAATTCGAGTTGGTCAGCACGTTTCTGATATGTGCTCGTTGACTGCTGGCATTCTTCAAAGCGGAATTTTCTCGCCTCTCTTATTTTCAGTTTTTATAAATGTCATTACTTTCCACATTCGATGTATATTATACTATCTGTATGCTGATGACTTACAAATTTATCAACTGAAACTGAGGTAACAAGTATCGATTATGTGATTAAAAACTTAACTGTGATGTGTGTATTTAACAGTGGTAGAGCCACGCGGCAGCTTTGCTGTTGCACGCATGGTTCGGCTCAAACCTGGTTGGTACCACGACCTCACGGAAGACCAGCGTGAAGTAGAGGCTTTGCTTCTGCATTTCGTCTGATGATTGCAGGTGGCCGGAGGACTAATCCCCACCCCCATCAACATGTTAGCAGAATTCAATACAAGACTACCTCAGGAGGGTACTAGCACCCCCGGAGAATCCCTCGATGAGCATCTACAACCAAGCTACTCCACTCCTGAGCGTGTGTGCTCAGGCTGTTTCGCGTATTCTAGAGGAGGGGGAGCGAAATTCCGCTCGAGACTAAACCTGCTCCGGGCAAATGGAGCAATAAGTCAAAGGCGACCCTTGCCACGCTATTCGTGAATTTCTGCAACATCAGGGGGAATTAATTCAAACCTTAACGCTCTCCACTACCATGTGGAAATGGCTAAGCCTTTCTCTTTCTAACCAAGGCACAGGTGTCCTTACCGGCTGATACTTCGTACCTCTCCTATCCGAGGTAAAAATTGGAACACTCATTTGTGCCCTGGGCTGGAGTTTTCGTGAGCGTCAGTACAGAGAACATCCGTTTTCGACGCTTCGGCAGCCTTGAAGGTACGGATCTGTTTATCTTATGGCTGCGCGTAGTATCCCCGCGTCTACGGGTGCCTCTATATGTCCCATAGCGGTAATTCCAAAACAGACCAACTCATCGATCACGTCCAGATGGCTACAGATTCTTGATACAACAGATCCCATCCGCAGAGATCGTGATACTTGCTGATTTTAACGTCCACCACGCTGAATGGCTTGGTTCTCGTTTAACCGATCATACAGTTAGATCGGTTTACGACTTTGCTTTGACATATGGTAAGATACAACTGGTTTCCTCTCCTACGCGGATCCCAGATGTGGAAGACCATGTACCTTACCTGTTGGACCTTCTGCTGACCTCTCATCTAGACAATACCCCTCCGGATGAAGGTCTCCGTCGATACCCCTCTTGGTTCCTCGGACCATGTCTGATCTGGACTACGGTACCACTTACGCTCTAATCTCGGTTGCGTACTGCAGGTTGTTGCCGTGTCTGGCATTATAGGTCAGCAGATTGGGACAGGATGCGTTCTTTTTTTTGCATTCTAACCTTGAAGGCGGGTTTGCTTTTCGCCTGATGATCCCAGCGTTGTTGCTGATTCTGTCGCTGATGTGGTGCTACAGGGAAAGGAACTTTTTATTCTGTCATGGGTGGTACCTGCCGGAGGCAGAACGCAGCCTTGGTTTGGTCGCTCCTGTAAAATTGTACTACGTCATAAGTGGGAGTGCTACCAGGCCTGGGCTCGCGCATCTACGTCTCGGGATGTAAATAGTAGCGTTCTTAAAAAGAAGTACAATTCTGCTTCCACGTCCTTCAAAAGTTTCATTGTCAAGGCAAAGTCAGAGCACATCGGCAGAATTGGCGAGAGACTTGTTCGTCTTCGCTCGGGTACACGTGCATTATAGTCTCTCGCCAAGGCTGTCCAAGGGAACTTCTGTCAGCCATCTCTCCCATCCCTGCTCAGGGAGGACGACTCACTGGCTTATGCCGCAAAGGACAAAGCTGATCTGCTGGGCTCCCTCTATGCGTCCAACTCGACTCTTGATGACGGGGGAAACACACCGCCGACCATGCCGCGAAGTGAGTGCTCCACGCAGGATGTCCTGTTTACTCAACTCTCAGTGCACAGAGCACTCCTCTCTGGACGTAAACAAGAGGAGTGGGCCGGATGGTGTCCCTCCTATTGTGCTGAAGACGTGTGCATCGGTTTTAACGTCTTTTCCGGTATTCCTACTCCCTCGGCATAGTCTCAAAATCATGAAAGATAGCCCTCGTACACCCGATACCTAAAAAAGGTAAGCATTCTGATTTGTCCAACTATAAGCTCATCGCCATCACCTCCTTGTTCTCTAAAATAATGGAATCCATTATTAACAGCCAGCTCATGCGGTACCTTAAATATTACCAGCTGATTAGTGACCGCCAGTATGGTTTCCGTCGCGGTCGCTCGACTGGTGATCTTCTGTGTTACCTAACTCATAAATGGGCGAAGGCATTAGTTTCCAAGGGGGAGGTGTTGGCCGTTAGCAGTAGGTAACGACCTAGAAGATACAAGTTTGCGCGTGTACTGCTAAAAAGCCTCTTCGTCATATCTCTTCAGATTCAAACCACTCCCCTTGCTGCCTCAGCCGGTATCGGAATCCTCGGCGTCGACATATCGATTGATGTGCAGTTTCGCGGTTACTTGGAAGAGAAGGTCAAATAAGCCTCTAAAAAGGAAACTATTTCGTGTCGGCTCACCGCCTGCAACTTTACAAGGTGCAGGTTAGGCCGCTCATGGAATACTGTTCCCATCTCTGGGTCGGGGCTCTCCAGCGCCAGCTCCTTCCATTTGATTGTATCCAGTGCAGATCTGTTCGAATGGTCTGCGACCGAGCTCTTTCCAATCGGCTTGACTCAGTGGCAATGCGAAGAGATGTTGCATGTCTTAGCGTATTTTATAGCATCTATCACGGGGAGTGCTCTGAGGAATTCTTCGGACTTATCCCAACCTCACAATTTCACCATCGCACATCACGACAAAACTTGCGATATCATCCATACCATTTGTATGACTGGCGGTCCACTACCGTGCGATTTACAAGAAGTTTTCTTCTTCGCACAACTTCCTTGTGGAATCGACTACCACCAGAGATTTTTCAGGACCGATACGACTTAGGGACTTTCAATAAAAGAGCCTACTACTTTTTAAAAAGCCGGCAACGTATCTGTAGTTCCCCTGGTGTTGCAGTGTTCATGGGCGGCGCTAATCACTTACCATCAGATTAGCTGTATGCTCATTTGACCCCTCTCTAAAAAAATCTCAACTATATTTATTATTGGTCAGACAGATTTGGTATTAGGGTTAATCCATCAAAACTTCAAGCAATTGTGGTTGGTAGTTCTTGTAGATAGCCTATAATTTATATGAAAGCGCTACCTCCTCTGCGTAATAATGTTGGTGTTTCTTTCTCAACAAGTGTTTACAATCTTGGCTTAATTGTAGGCAAC